CATGCAGAAAAATATGTATGTTGTACACAAGAGACCACAAGGTACCTTGGTGGTTCACCAGTCTTTTGTGGTTGGGAGAGTAAAAGGAGGTTATTGGTTTAGAGAATTTTGTCCCGACATTACCTAGACTATGTCTGACCTAGGTCTAAACTTTGTGAAGACACCTGTGTGTCTTCACCGCGAATGCCGAATAACCAAGGTTGACGTGTAGTCCTCCTCCGTCGGTGCCTGTAACCGCAACCCTTTCGCGACCTCTGCAGACATCATGTATACGGGTCCGGACATCTACTCACGACAAGAGTGTCGTTAGTCGGGGCTACGTTTCTGTCACAATTTAACTCGCTTACTCCTTAACCGATTTTACGTACTAGACTAAACCATAAAACCTTTTTAATTTTTCATATTTATGACGAATATATCCAACGAGGGATTGTGATATTGAATATTTTATATCGTTACTACCAGGTCGAATCTATTTGACTTTAACTGGGATATATCAGTTTACTCGGGGGTGGGAAATAGCCACGATATTTCACTACTTTCGTGTAATTCGTAAATGACATAAGCGTTATTATATTAATTTTAATAAGATCTTCGACCCGTAAACAACGCCTGCTCATGAAAGTGAAAAAATATGAAAAGTTCAAGTAAAACTATATATATTATATTATAGATGCGAATACTTTAAATCGCGAAAAAGTGAACAATAATCCTCATAAAATCTGAGGAAGGTGTGGACCCTTCGTCTCGTCTCTTCATTTCGACGTGTAAGCTTATATATTAAATTTTTTCCGTTATAGTACAACACTTTATTTGTTCATGTGCACACCGTAAGAGTACTACTGGTACCAATGTCAAATGCATTTTGCATGATAGGTCCCCTTTAACCTACAAGTTATTTGCTGATTATGTTTATTGTGTATAATTATATTGGATATTCAAAGTAATTAGAACAAATAAATGTAGTAAAGTAAAGGTATAATATTTGACTCTGAAATGTGGTAGAGTGGAAGTAGAAAGAAGCAGGAAATTGAAATATTAAATTGCAAATAACTAAAAATGGTACTGCGTTCCACCAACACGATTATAAAGTGTAGTAGCCCACGTCATATTCTTTCAGATTTCTGTACTTTGTTATCCCTGTATCATCTGTGACCTGTGTTTATTTACATGCCTATTCATTTGATTGTAAACTGTATCTGCCACCTAGACCGACCCTTTTATGTATGTGTAATGTTCGTTATATTTGAAAACTTCAATACAAATATTGTTAAAAAATGGTTTGCGTTCCACCACGTTCCTCTCCTCACCTTGGCCTTCTCGTCAGCGATCATGTAGAGCTCCTGTTCTCCGATCCAGGCCTCGGCCTCGTCCGCGTCGTTGTAGTAATGCTGGCCGGAGCTGGAGCCCTTCAGCCGCTCTCTGCGATTGGTCATCTCGTCCTGGAGGCGGGCCCACGCCTCCTCCAGGTCCTTCAGCTGCTCTGTGATTCGCTCAGCCTCCGGTCGGCCCTCTGCGCTGGCGGCCGCCGACATCCTCCTCCCTCGCTCCAACACTTCCTCGACTCGAGGCTGGTGGCCCTCGATCTCCCTCTGCAGCGTCTGATGGACAGAGAGGGAGACAGTGAGTGTATTGGAGATGATATGATGGTGGCCAAGTGTCTCTAAACCTCCCCAGCAACTTCTATTTTAGTTCACACATCAATTCTTTGTGATATAAATGGAAACAAACAAACTTGGTCTTCACTACCTGATGAAGGCTTGATGCTGAACGCGTCACTTTTTTGGTCTTAAATTACCATTATATTACAATGGAGACAATTCATTGCTTAAAACGAGTGCCGTAGAGCTGTCTTGTGATTTTTGTGTCCACATGTAACCATATCTTAAAAAATACCTCAGACCAGCTGATATTATGTCGAGGAAAGGTCTTATCGCACAAAAATTATATATAAGGAGATGTTTTTTATTTGCATGTTGTTAGTTTTGCTTTTGCAATATAGGTAGTAAACACTATTTTGATTATAAGTTGGAAATAGCTTTCCTGCAGAGTATAGACAATCAGCTGAGAACTCATCAACAATCATTTAGATAATTCAATAAATGTTTCCGTATTTTTTTAATAATAAAACATTTTCAAGCACTTGCATGCTCCAGCTTCTAAAATAGGATGATTTATGGCCATATATAAACTGGGGAATTTGAAAGAGTTAGGCTTCAGGACACAGAGAGCGGCATTTTCTATTATTTTCTGACATTTTATATTCAGAACAACTAATCCAGAACACAATTCCAGATTAACAAAAGATGGGAACAAATGTTGAAAGTACGAATTTTTAGTAGCAGCGGTTTCCTGCAGGAAAAAAAACCCTCACCTGATTCTTTTTCAGCAGCATTTGCACAGTTTGAAGATTGTGGCCGTGCTCCTGTGACATTGCCAGGGGCATCCTCTCCTCAATCCAGAGCTGAGAGAGAAGAGGAGGAGAAATACAAGATTAGGGCAAAGAGTAACAAGTAGAGACTGGTTTCCTTTGAGGAACAGCTGAGCATTCAGAATCTAACAGTGTGCACAGAGTATACAAAATTAAAGAAGGTCTTCAACATCTCAAACAGTAAATATCGTTTTTTAAACCATCTGACTAAAGTGGATTTAGGCGGTGAAACCAATAAGGGATTAAAGCTTTTTTACACAGACCCACCTGCAGAGTCAATTTGATGGAAAGAGCTGGAGGTCTATATGCTGCATACTAAGTGTACACACTATAATTGAAAACCTACTTTTCAAATTAATAAGTTAACATTTTGAGGGAAGAAACCCCTCTCAAGTTCGGTCTTCAATATTTCCCAAAAGGTGTTCTCTTGCTGTCATTCAGAAGCCAACATTAATCCCACATTGTTTATTTAATTGATGTGCTATCTATCATTTTGTGAGAGCAGGGAGGTTTTAAATGTTTAATTTTGCTCTGAAATTGTCAAAACTGAACTCTGAGGCATGAACCCAAACGCACAACTCGAGGGTGCTTTCAAAATGAGGTCCTTTACTGGGTTTGGCACAGTATACAAGGTTTCAAACAAAAGATCACTCAATAGAGGAAAGAACGCCACTTAAGGTGTGGGAAAACAAAAACACTCAATAGAGGAAAAAGGCACAGGGCAGAACAATGATCCTGGCTTGGCGATAGGTGCTGGTAGTCTACGTGACACAACAAGATGAACTGGCACAAGACAAAGGGAGACATATATACACGAGGTGAGGGGGCACAGGTGGACACAATCAGGACCGGGTGACACACAGGGGCGCACAGAGACTTAAAGGTCCCCTATTATACTGTTCATGAATATATTATAGGTCTCAGATATATACAAAACATGTCTCTGAAGTGTTTGGCTCAAAACACCAAACAGATCATTGCAGCATTACCCATAATCCCCTCTGTTTCAGCCCTGTTTCAAAAGTGCTGATTCTCTGTCTGTTAGATGAAAATAAGGAGCCCCTCCCCACGCCCCTCTGAGAGAGATTTGGTTAAAAAGAACACAATGGTGCTCTAGGAGGAGATTCAGGTGATAAGAAGGGGGGGTGGGGTGACCTTGGTTGCTGATTGGCTAATGGTTACACAAGCCAAAAAATCGTTATGACATCATAAAGTGGCCAAAATCTGATCAGCTCATTTTCAGACAGGTTTTTATAGAAATGGATCAGGACAAAAAGAGAGAGAATCTTTTTTCATGAAACTTTCAGAATCTCTTTACACAGAGGGGACACATGTTGATGTATAAAAGACAGAAAAAAGTGGATTTTGCATAATAGGTGACCTTTAAGCCACCAATTCAATAAATAATACATGAATCAATACTACGTTTTACACCATAAAACTGTAGGTATGAACAAACAGCTCCAATTCTAATAAAAAACAACACAAACAAAATTGATATTTAGAACCTACTGAAACCCAACCTTTAATATAGTTTATACATAGTGTATACTGAGACACTCTACAGCTATTCAGGCAGCTCTAAATTAGGGTACACTAACATTGTCCAATAGAACCAATCAACTTAGCTTTGCAGTAAACCTATTCTTCTTTGTTATTTTTAGATTTGTCTTTTCCAGCTATGTGAAGCCGGGGTTATTCTTTGTTAGGATCAGTGTTTTTTGGCAGTGGTAACCAAGCCAAGGGATTAGCTAGCAGACAGAAACATGTAAACCCCAATCTACTCATCTGATATCCAATGATGAAGCTTAGCATGAGTAGCAAAGTAAAGCCCCATTCAAAGAGATATTATCCATTGAAGAGCACACACTCTACGCAAATACTACTTCATGGCAAGCCTTACGAGCTTTCGTTTTTTATTTTTATTTTGCATTGTCAGTGTGGATATCTAAATCCTCTCTGTTTACCTCTGTGGGCTTGTTGCTATGCATTCTTGGGGTAAGTTTAGAAACGTCTGTGACTTCATTTTTCTCTGCGTTTATTGCTACATTTACCGATGGCTGAGTAGGCTCCGTCTGCCGTGGAGTTTCTGTGATAATGCGCCATCCAAGGTGAAGCTTTGCTAGTCTCTAGTCTGCCGGTAAATCGACTTTGAGTTTGATGCTACTGTGGGGTTGACTACATGCTGGTCATGAGTTAATTAAATGCAGGCCAATTTATGTGTTGTTGACATGTGTGGGGGAAGGGAGCAGCAGACAGAAGCTGATGAAAATGGAAATCTGTGAAGCACGAGTGAAAGGCAGGAAAACTAATTCATTAGATGGAGTTAGAACGGCATGCATGTCAACTGGCTGACAGCAGGGTCCACCTGATGGATGATTATGTTGCTAACTGACTGTCTCACTGACTTTGGGACTGCAGTGTTTCCAACAGAAGCTGTGACTGATTGATACTTGATAAACTGACCCTTGGTATTTCAGTACATAAAGGAAAAGCTGGACAGCAATAGCAAGGATGGACTGTGGTTTTGAAATGATTATGGGAGGAAATTACTGCAGGGACAGGGAGAAAAAAGGTGGTGGAAATGTGGGCTGAGTGAGGAGGAGAAGAGGGAGGGATAGAGGGCAGGTGGACAGCCGGATGGAACGCTGCCCATTGATGCTGGCAGGGGACATGTGAGCTGTGCAAAAACAGGTACGGTGGGGAGATGGCTGCGAGGGTGAGGAAGGCGGGAGAACCCTAATATTACGCTGAGAGCAGCATTTGAGGCGTGACGGCAAAGGTGATTGGACAAAGAAAGGCAGAGGAGGCTTGTTGCCTGGACTGCAGTAAAAGCGGAGAGGGACGTGGCAAAAGACAGCGAGAACAGCTTTTGGTCGATAGTTGTTATAGTAACAAAGATGGAAATGATGTCAGGAATAAGAGACGACACAGACATGCAATTACAGATAGCTAAATCTAGCAGCGAACATCTCTTTGCGTCTGTGTGAGTGTGTGAGGAAAGCGTTTCAGCGCTGACGGAGGGTGTGTGAAGCACGTGCTGCTAGCATTGTGTGTGTGGCTGAAATGCGTTGTTTCTGTGTTTGAGAAATGCTCAGCGCTGATTTGCCGACAAGCGGTGAAGCATGTGTGGTGTTGTCAAGGGTGTGTCGTAGAGTTACTAGGCAGAGGTTTAGCAAATTAATTGAGAGAGGAGACATCTGAGCCAAAGCTTCTGATTGTAAGCATCAAGGTGAGTCTTTCTTTTGCTGCTAGAAGGACGATTTACAAGAACACATCTTCATACTGTCTGATATTGGTATCCATTTTGGAATATGAGCTGTCATGTGTTTATTATGGTAACATACGTGCATGTTCCATACCAATGAGATACGATTGTGATCAGTAAAAGGCTTTGAATGTGCGATCTGATTTTTTTTTTATGTTTTGCAATGTTGATTAATTTTCAGTACATTGGTGTATTAGTATTCAGTACATGTTAATGCTTCACAGATACATAAGAGTTACAAATATGTCTGCATATTACTGCATTGTGTGTAATGACACAACACAACTCTGTGTATGCAATAAAGGTTGCATGTGTGCTTGTCTGTGGCTTTGCATGCATGTGAACTAAATGCATCCGTGTGTGTGTGTGTGTGTGTGTGTGTGTGTGTGTT